AAAGAGTCACAGAGGTCCATGTAGGTGTAATAGGAGCAGAGCTTCGGGGATTTGTAATGGTGTTAAACATGTTAAAAAGAACCTGTGGCCTGTGACAGTTGTTGGCAACCAGCTTAGAAATAAAATCAGATTTTGCAGATTTTACAGCTCTCTGATAGTCAGATAGATATTGCTGTAGGATTTCATATGACACTCTGAGTCTATCTTTCTTCCACCTTCTCTCAGCTTGCCGACATCGTCTGATCGCTCGGGTGGTGTCATTTAACCAGGGCTCTGAAAGCGCTTTAGTGGGTTTCATCCTCAAAGGAGCTACAGAGTCCAAGATGCTTGTGCAGGTTGAATTACAAAGATTAATAAGTTCATCAGCACCAGTAGCATCACCTCCATCCAAGTTATAGAGCCTTAGAGTCTTTGAAAGCAGCAGAGAACTGTGCCGGGGTTTGAATGTTAATTACACGACGGCAGCGTGCAAAAGGAGATTTCACCAAAGGACACGGGACTGTAATCGTAAATAAGACAGGGAATTGATCCGAAATACATACGTTAAAGACTTCATTTACATGAACACACAAGCCATGAGACAGCACAAGGTCTAATGTGTGTCCCTTTTCATGTGTTGGGCCAGACACCGACTGAGTGAGATTAAAAGTATTAAGAAGATTTAAGAAGTCTTTAATCATAGGTTTGCTTTCACAGCATACATGTAAATTAAAGTCACCACAAATTATAAAATGGTCGTAGTTTAACCTGACACCTGCTATAAAATCAGCAAACTCTTGCACAAAATCTTTGTTGAATTTCGGTGGACAATACACAACTGCACACAGCGTCGGAGAAGAGGCGTTTAATTCAAATAGCTGCAGCCCAAAGCTAGAATATGTGGCAGATGCAGACAGCCGACACTGGAAGGTGGATTTAAACACAGTGGCAAGTCCTCCACCTTTGCCAGTGGTCCGAGGAGAGCTAAAAAATGTACAATTTGGAGGGAGAAGCTCAGAAAAGGAAGCAGACACACCAACATGAAGCCAAGTCTCGGTCAGCAGCATAAAGTCCAGTTTATGGGATGTAAAAAAATCATTCAGCACAAACGTTTTGTTGGCCAGTGATCTGAAATTAATCAGGGCCATACGAAGTGTTAAATCCAAACTATCTGGTTTTGAGGCCCGCTGCAGTGTGCGCAGATTAGCCGTATTCACACCACGTCGACAGTCAGGTCGAAGTTTCTTCACCGACGCCAGGTGCCCGGTGTCGGTTCCCTGGGCACCATGTGTCAGGCCGGGAGGAAGGTGGATCAGCGTCAGGAACAGCACCCGAACCACCAAGGCAGCTGATAATGATTTGAATATTTTCAACCTTTTTAAATGATCTGTTCTTAATAGATTTTTGATTATTTATTTCACAATATTGATTAACTGTATGTTTATTTTGAATAGATTAAATCCAGAGAGAAAAGTGACGCTCATTAGATAATTATGTAAAAAGGGTAGGCATAATAAGCAGTCTACACCTTTTTCGGTTGTTATGCATTTATATATTTTTATTTTCATTGTTTTTCTTTTTTTGTTATGGAAAATTATGTGTGAGGACTGAAATAAATTTTGTTGATTGATTGATTAATTAACAATATGTATAATTGTTTAACTCCACTACCCCTCATGTCTCGTCTTCTCTTTCTATTTACAAAAAAGTTAGCATTTTTAATTGATTAATTTGCTTGTTTTCTTGTTTACAGTATTTCTACTTCTATTTTGTAGACATCCTTGGTATTTGTATTCTGTTTTATTCATTAAAATATTGCCTTCATCAATAAATATCTCATCATTTTAAATTTTGACATTTTGACATTTTTATATCATGTAATTTTACTGTTGTTGCCTGTCTTCTGCTTTTTATTTCCCTTGCTCTCTCCCTTTTATCCAACCCTCTCTTCCCCTCCTCCCCACTGATTCACTGCCGTCCCTTCCTCTTCCATTATCCCTCCTCCTCCTCTCTCCTCCTCCTCCTTCCTCTCTCCTCCCCCTCCCTCAGTCTGTCTCAGCTGTCCTTGGTGCTGCTGTTTCAGATGGAGGCTGCAGTATTCTGCTGAGTAGCAGTGAGCCAGCATTTGTTTGCTCTGCCTCCAGCCGCCAGCATCCAGCCAGCCGAGAGACGAGCCTGAGAGTAAACTACCGTGTCCATAATCCTCCAGCAGCAACCCTGACTGTCGCCTAGCCTGCAGCGAAGCCCTGTGGAACCCTGGGAGTTGCGGTCCTCACTAACTGGCTGTTGGTGGAGGCAGAGAGGCAGAGAGGCAGAGAGATAGAGATAGAGGGTGACGTGCCATGACAACCGTCAGAGAGGGAGAGAGAGAAAGGTGAGTCTATCTGTCTGTTGGTGTTTTGGTTTTATTTACCTGCTAGATATTTCCCTCATCTCCCTCTCTCTCTCTGGCTGTTTGTCATCAATGTCTCCCACTACGATTTTCCTCTCTCTCTTCTCTGAATGTACATCTTTATCATCACTTTTTCATCCACCATCTTTTCATGTATTTTCTTCTGTCAAACATCCTCCTCCCCTCTCTTGCTCTCTCAGTCTGACGGTGCATTTTCCTCTTCAGCCTCAGTCTCCAGAGAATGAGCTGTGTGCTTTGTTGTCAATGTGTTGGTCTCATTAGATCTGTGTTAGTGTGTGTGTGTGTGTGTGTAGCCATCTCCACCCAGTCTGAGGAGCAGCTAACAGATCAATCTGATGTTCACTAAATGTCTCCTCATTTTGAAGCTGAGAATTTTCTTCAGTGCAGCAGTGAGTGTATTTCAGAGCAAGATGCCACACAATCACAAACACAACGCAACGCAACATGAAACAACATGACGTGGAGTGAAAAGACATCACCTGCAGTGGAACACACAACATGACACAACAAGATATGAAATCCACAAAATGACAAGACGTGACGTTAGATTGACATGGAATGAAATAGCATGCAATGACACGACCAGACATGATGAAACACAAAACAACACAAGGCATGGCACAAAAATGACACCAAAAGAAATTACACAACACTAAAAGATAGAATTTAGGACAAATAAAAAGACCACAAAAAATTATGACACTCAACGAGACAAGACTTGACATGAGAAGATACAATAAAACAAAACATGACATGACAAGAAATGACATGACATGACCCAAAAAAGACAGGAGATAAAAAGAAATAAAAAGGAATGACACGCTCTGAAAAGACAAGACACGACATGACGTGAGAAAATAAGACAACATTAAAAAGACATGACACAAAATAGAAAATACATTAAATGACAGAACACAACACGACATGCAAGGACATGACCCAATATTAAAACCATCTGACAGGACATTAAAAGATAAGACAACATGAAAGACACAACACAAATATACACACAAAAAGACATGACATGACATTAAAGATAAGTGAAAAGAAAAGGCATGACACTAGACAAAAGAGAAATCAAAGGCATGGCAGGAGATAAAAGAGACATGAAAAGATATGACAAAAGATGAAAAAGATATGACATGAGATAAAAAGAAATGAAAAGATATGACACAAGATAAAAGAAATATGAAAAGATATGACACTTGATAAAAGAGACATAAAAATATATGAAACTCGATAAAAGAGACAAGAAAATATATAACAAAAGTTGAAAAAGATATGAAAAGTCATAACATGAGATAAAAAGAAATGAAAAGATATGACACAAGATAAAAGAAACATGAAAAGATATGACACAAGATAAAAGAGACATGAAAAGATATGACAAAAGATGAAAGAGACATGAAAGGCATGATACAAGATAAAAGAGATGTGAAAAGATATGACACAAGATAAAAGAGACGTGAAAAGATTTGACACTCGATAAAAGATATGACAAAAGACAAAAGAGACATAAAAAAGATATGACACTCAATAAAAGAGACAAGAAAAGATATGACAAAAGATAAAAGAGACATGAAAGGCATGATACAAGATAAAAGAGATGTGAAAAGATATGACACAAGATAAAACAGACGTGAAAAGATTTGACACTCGATAAAAGATATGACAAAAGACAAAAGAGACATGAAAGGCATGATACAAGATAAAAGAGATGTGAAAAGATATGACACAAGATAAAACAGACGTGAAAAGATTTGACACTCGATAAAAGATATGACAAAAGACAAAAGAGACATGAAAGGCATGGCACAAGAGAAAAGACACATAAAAAGTTACGACACAAGACAAAAGAGACATCAAAAGATATGACACTATAAAAGAGACAAGAAAAGATATGACAAAAGACAAAAGAGACATGAAAGGCATGATACAAGATAAAAGAGATGTGAAAAGATATGACACAAGATAAAACAGACGTGAAAAGATTTGACACTCGATAAAAGATATGACAAAAGACAAAAGAGACATGAAAGGCATGGCACAAGAGAAAAGACACATAAAAAGTTACGACACAAGACAAAAGAGACATCAAAAGATATGACACTCGATAAAAGAGACAAGAAAAGATATGACAAAAGATAAAAGAGACATGAAAGGCATGATACAAGATAAAAGAGACGTGAAAAGATATGACACAAGATAAAAGAGACGTGAAAAGATTTGACACTCGATAAAAGATATGACACTTGAGAAAAGAGACATAAAAAGATATGACACTTGAGAAAAGAGACATCAAAAGATATGACACTCGATAAAAGAGACAAGAAAAGATATGACACTCGATAAAAGAGACAAGAAAAGATATGACAAAAGATAAAAGAGACATGAAAGGCATGATACAAGATAAAAGAGATGTGAAAAGATATGACACTCGATAAAAGATATGAAAAAAGACAAAAGAGAAATGAAAGGCATGGCACAAGACAAAAGACACATAAAAAGATATGACACTCGATAAAAGAGACATGAAAAGATATGACAAAAGATAAAAGAGACAAGAAAAGATATGACAAAAGATAAAAGAGACATGAAAGGCATGATACAAGATAAAAGAGATGTGAAAAGATATGACACTCGATAAAAGATATGAAAAAAGACAAAAGAGAAATGAAAGGCATGGCACAAGACAAAAGACACATAAAACGTTACGACACAAGACAAAAGAGACATGAAAAGATATGACAAAAGATGAAAGAGACATGAAAGGCATGATACAAGATAAAAGAGACGTGAAAAGATATGACACTCGATAAAAGATATGACAAAAGATGAAAGAGACATGAAAAGATATGACACTTGATAAAAGAGACACGAAAAGACATGGCATGAGATAAAATATATGAAAAGAGATAAAAGACACATGAAAATACATGACACAAGATAAGAAAAGACATGAAAAGACATGAGACGACAAGCTGGGGACAAGTCGAAATAACAAGAATCTCTGTACTAAGAAATAATTAAAACCCTACACAAGAAGCCAAAAGGATTCCATCATTGAAATATTTAGTAAAAGAACACTACCCAGCAAACATGGTTAAATGCATTAGACAGTTATACAGCCATTCCACCACTCCGTACCTACATAACATTAAAAACTATCTGAACTATGAGAACAACAGCTAGAGGAGAAGATGCAGTTCTGGCCTTTTCTGTCGGAGCCTCCCAGGTTTGGAGCAACAGACGTAAGAAACCAACTCCTTCTCCACAACATTAAGGTTTACTAGAAATCAAAGTGTGAGCACTGAACTGTGTCTGTGTTTGTTGTCATTATTAACTGTAAGAGTATCGTCACACCACACTTCACCAGGCCTAACACTGGTTTGTCATGCTAACTGCTGATCGTTGTCATGGTATGGTTGTGTCTTTGTGTCTCTCTTGTTTCTATGTAGTGCAGACTCCTACAGATTTTATTGTTAAATGTATTTTAAATGTCTGCGCCTTCAACTGTTGCCCACCCGGATACAACAGATGAAAGTTAGCCTTTCTGGCTAACCCTAGCATATTTTCATAAACCTTATTGTTATTATCAAAGTCCTGCAACTCGGCTTTATATGTTTCCCAGCTCGGCTGTTAGAAGCGGACTTTCTAGCAGGAGGGGCGGGAAATGTGCAAACAACCGCCATCTTGGTGTTACAGGCCTTCCCCATAGGATTGTATTGAGGATTCTTTAAGTGGCATGTCTCTGTAGTTATGCACTGTCTGTGTCAAATAAATTTATAAAATAAAAATGAAAATAAATACACAAAACTAAAAGACATAACTCAACGTAAAGAAACAGGATATGGCATTAAAAGACAACTAAATATGAAAAGACACAGATTCAGTCCTTGCTCATGGACCCTTCAGCAGTACTTGTGCAGACAAACTAACTGGGTCTTAATTTAAGGGATGAATGTTCATTTTTCCTTGTCTTGAAGATTTTATTTTGTTATTATCTCTTGCTACCTTTTCTGTAGTTCAGCTTCTCTTTGGTCAGTACAGGACGTCCACAGTGTCCATCTGGTTACTGCTCACAGTGGCTGCAGGGTGAGGCAGCAGATGGCCTTTCTGTTGGGCTACCTGCCCACTTCACTCTCTCTCTCCTGTTCTCTGTCTGCCTCGCTCTACCTTTCTATCAGCTGTATGCCATTCCTTTATTTGCCTATATCATCTTTCTGTCCACAATTGTTGTGTGAAAATGATAAAGATGTTTGGCAGACGTGGTCTTTCTACAGGAAAAGTGTATGAACTGTTCAGATCAGGGGGCTCACCCTCAGACAAAACTGAGGGAATATTCATAGTGCAACATGAAAAAGGATTTTGTCACTGGCCCCATTAAAGTAGCTGAATTAGCTGTTAACAGCTCCTGTTAGCAGTTAGCATGGATGTACAGACAACGCTCACTGGATTACTGTGATCCTGAAGAAAAGTTAATAATAATATTATAATATATAATAATATTCTTAGGCAGCCTTTCCAAAACTAGACCCTAGAGTGTCCTCTGGTCGAAGATTCAGGACTGATGTTGAGGAAAAGTGTTTTACACTAACGAAACTGAATCCATTTATCAGTGTTTATGTACCAAATTTAAAATTTTTCTCTAAGACGTTTTCAGCTATTCATTTATGAGACATTATATTCTTTTATGATAAGATTGATATTGATTGTAACAGTCTAGGTTTATATTTTGAACTTCTTTATCTTATATAGAAAATATTACATTCAGAAAGACAAATGGTCTAAAAAGAAACCATAAAGACAACATTTCAAAATAGAAATCAAACATTATATTGAAGCATTATCTGGTCTGAAGTAATTAAAACAGTTAAAATGTGTAAAGATTTTAGTCGAGGTTAATAAGATTCAATAAAAGGAAATTCTCTATCAGAAAAGAGCGTGTTTAATTAAACACAATATAACCTTTAGGCTGCGTGTTAACCTGCAGTGTATGGTGATATGTTGAAATGTTGTTGGCGGAACCTCCTCACAGTTTGGAAACTTTGTTGTTGCAACGCCTTCAGGAAAACTTTACATTTCTAGCTCCTCTCCTCTCTCAACTAAACATGTGACTGAGAGCCATCACTGCCATCGGGCGAAAGTAAGTAAAAGATGTGAAGAGGCTCGGTCGTCCTCGTTTGTACAATAACGCTACAGGTTCTCACAATCCCACTGCTCCTCCCTCCCTCTCTCCCTCTCCTCCCCCCGGCCTCTCTGAGCAGTTGACCTCTGAAAAGCCTCATTAAGAATTCAGCAGAAAACACAGACTGGTGGATAAATACAGAGGGAGTCCAGAGGCAGGAAGTCAGGAGGGAGACGACAAAGACTCAGCTGATCCTGCTGACCCACTTCACACAGGAGAGGGGAGGAGGAGGAGGAAGAAGAGACAAGTATATAGTTTCATGTTTGAAAGGCTCAGTAATTTCCTCAAACAGCTGCTCGTGTAGTTTCTATCAGACAAACAGGAGGTTGTAGAGCATCTGTTGGGGACTATTTTCAGCGGCGGATGAATCCACATGTGCTGCTCTAGTGAGTTTTCAGGGCAGCAGGACGGTGTATATGGGACTGAGCCTTTTCTACCACTTAGTCCAGTTTGGTCTATCAATCAGTAATGGACTTTACTTTAGTGGCAATACTTCCAGGTAGGACTCTGCTGTCTCTGGTTTCCTCATGGTCCTTTAACGTTCTCTGTAGATCAGTATGCTGCTGGGTTGTTGGGAGGGTGATTATTTTCTCTTTTGGTGAAGTGGTCCTGCGAGTGGAAGCTAAGCTAGGCTGAACTATAAAGCACTACACTGTGAGCTCGCGGGCATAATGAAAACACTGTCGGACATTACATTATTGCTGTCGCACAATTGGTTTGTGGACTATTTTTCTATTAGCACAATGCATGATGGTATATAGGGCTTGGTTAGTGATCATCAGTTGTACACTCCTTTTCAAAATGCATTATGGGATACTATGAGTGGATTGTTTAGGGTATAATAATTCTAACTAAATGTTCGGACAGCACTATAAAGTGAGTAGTAAGTGATTTCGGACACAGCCCGTAAGATTAAACAGAGAGAACATGAGGCCCCGGGACACTTCCCTGAGGAACCCCACAGGTTGTTGAATTGTTATTTGTTCCGTCTGTGACGTTTTGTCTCTTTGTGTCTTCTGTCCGTCTCTCCGAGCAGTAACTGCTGAACCATGTCTGCCGGCCTGGACGACACAGACAACGTGTTCGGTGAGTCTCACAGACACAGTAGAAAGTACATTTACTCAAGTACTGTACTTGAATTTGAAGTACTTTAGTTGAGTCTTTCTACTTGTACTCATCTCAGAGGGAAATACTGTACTTTTTACTGCAGTCCATTTCTATGACAGCTTTAATTAATTTACAGATTAAAACTCATGAAAAGTTTCTTAAATTTGATGTTTAGGTTAGAAACTCCTACAGTTTCTACTACTGCTGCTGATCGACCAGCTGATTAATCAGTCAGCAGTTTGACAGAAACTAAAATAAGTTTCACCCTCTCATGTTTCCTCTGAATCACTGCAATAACTAATGTTTGTTAGTAACGTTGAGCTTTAGACTGTTGGTTCTAAAGGTGTCCCTTTGGCCTCTGGATAACTGTGACGGCAGAATCTTTACAAACCAATCAGTCGATTAATGGAGAAAATAATCAAGATTTATCAGCTGTAGTCTGAAACTAAACAGTTCAGAATGAGCTGCAGCTCAACAACTGCAGTGGCAACATCCTGCTTTGCAATAATGAGGAGGAGGAAGAACCTGTAAGAGTACAACAGACTACTGTTGAAATACTTTAAGGCCTGATCATACTCACATACTTTTACTGCTTTAATACTTTAATGATTATACTTACATACTTTTGTTGCAGTAAAGGATCTGAATACTTCCTCTGCTCACAGATCAGATGTGTTGCTGTAGATCCTGACACTATATAAACTACGTTACTATTAAAAAATGTTTTAGCTGCAGTAACTTACAAAACGCCCTCAAAGTACATATTTTATCATTGTTAATGTAAATGAAATATTATAACATCCATGGTTCTCAGTAACTTCGTAACTGTAACTGTAAAGTATTATGATACAGTTTTATGCTATTTCAGTCAAACATCATCTTTCTAATGTTGATCCAAATATACGTTTAACAAATAAATATGATGTAAAATGAAAGATTCATCATGCAGCAGTGCATGAAGAAGTTAAAACGACCTCTGCTTTTTGTTTGTTGTTCGTTTCTTTCTGATTGGCTCGGATGTTCCAGGTCTGTTTCTGAGGCGTCTGATGGACACAGCTAACAAAACAACATGTTTATCAGTGTACTGCTGTCTGAAGTGCTGCTGCTCTCCTTCACTCCTTCATCACCTCATGTCGGCAGGAAGTAGCGTGCATGCCGTTGACTTCACATTTCAAATAAAATGGCAGACAGTGTTTCAGATTTCAGACCTAAATATCTGACTCTGATCATCAGCCTCTTTAAACCTCTTTCCTCTCTTCTTCTAGTTTCTAATATCATCTAATGTCTCTCCATCCTCCCCCTCTAATATGATTACTTCTCTCCTCTGGGTCCTCCCCCACCTCTCCCATCACTCATTTAATGTCTCTTCTCTCATCTCTCTCTGTTCCCCATCCTCTCGGTTACTCTCCTCTGTGTCACCTGCCGCCAACGTTTCACCATTACACCTTCATGTCCTCTTTCCTCCTCCTCATCTTCTTCTTCCTTTCCTCCCATCCCCCGCCTCTCCCGTGGGAAATAACCTGCTGTCGGCTTGTTGTGGGGGAGGAGGCCCAGAGGAAGTCTTTACGTTCTGCACAAACTGTCCACATCCTGCTCCTGTGTGCTGATAACATCAGTTTAATATCAAAGACAGGCGAGACCGCAGAAGGTCTGACTTTATTTACAACAGGCGGCTCTACCCAGGGGGGTCGCACACAATCCTGACCTTGAAAATAAGTGTTCTCTATGGGCCCCTTCACTTATCCATGGCTATTCAAACTAGTGTCTTTCCTCACATGAGGGCCCTGTAATCTCAGCCACTGGCCCTACCTTATAGGGGCAGCCTGAAGGAAAGACCTGCAGACACAACTCAGTGCAGAAACAGTGCTTCGCCTCCTCTGCATGTTTCTGCATAAACTAAATAATAATTTCATGTATTTCGGTGACAGGTAATGTTCAACTAAAGGAACGTTATCTACACACTACAACACACAGAGCTCTTTATCTAACTCAGCATGTTCAGTTACTGCAACAGTAATGCAGCACTTTTTTTTAGATCACCTTGAAGATCGCTCCATTAACAGTTTCATTATTTAGCTGTAGACTGATTAAAATGTACCTGATTAAAACTACACATTAAACTAAAAGATGAAAAACAATCTTGGTCCAAACTAAAAACTAAATATTCACTTTCATTCAAATTTCCAAATGTGTGATTCTTTAAGGTAAAGAGTTTTCATTAACTTTATATAAAATTAGTAAAGTTTTTAATCTACAGAGTCTGTAAAGTTCAGTGCCTTTAAAGGGACATTATGGAGTTTCCAACGGCCACTAGCGGTGCGGTTTTAAGATTGCAACCAGGCATGTGCTCGTATGCGTGCTCGCTTGAACTCATGAGCGAGCAGAATCTGAAACACGACCGCTTTCATACAGAAATCCTGCAATAAATGCAGGAACACCAGCATGCAGGCTGTGGCTTTTCTCCAGACATGTTCAGGCTCTGTTACTTCAACGTTACCATCTCAGAGACAGATCGACACCAGCGCCGTATCTTTCATTCAGCGCAGCGAGACACTGGCATATTGGCACAGTACTCCCAAAAAAAGGCAAAGTGAGAGCGGCTATAGACAGGCAGGGAGCCAGCTTCACACAACATACTGGAAACTCAGGTAAACTCCCACTGCAACGTTACAGTAATATTTTTATCAGCTTGATGTTGAACTAATCCACGCTCGTTACATGATAAAGTTACACTGCATTTAGCCGACGTGCTACATCGTTAGCTCGCCTGCTGCTTTCAGTAACCATCTTTACTATCTGTGTATCTTTCGGAGGCTCAGCAATTTCAGCACAGCTACATGTTTTGGATGATAATAAAACTGTTAGTGAGCTAGACTGAATATTATAAGGAGATCGTGTCACACTTTATAATAATAAGACTGCAGTAAGTAAATTTACTGTAGTGTCAGTGGGTGGCTCTTCCTCTTTGTTGTATATTATGTGGGTCATGTTAGTTACAGGGACTGAGAGATGGAGAAGCCGTATACCTGAGCATCGGTAAAAGCCATTAAATCTAAATTGAACACGAATAGGAATACGAAGCAAACAGCTGTTGGTCCGAGCTACTGTAGCTTTAGCTGGCTGCATCACTATGGGATAGTAAACAAATCGCTCCACATTAGCTTTTTACCATTACATAATTTCTTGCAGGCTTTGACACTTTGACATAACAGTGGTACAGAGGAAAGTAATATGGGTTGCATTAGTTGGTGAAGTAATGTGAAAACGATATAACTTAAATATATATATAATATAAATCTAACGGACAACAACAGCAACTGCTCGGCGTTAGCCAGCGAGCTAACGCTATCTAACTTGAGCCAACTGAAGCACAAAATCTAAATATATTTTACATGCTTTGTAGTAATGTTAGCGTACCTGTCCAATAGGATGAAAGCCAACTCTGGGTCTGTTTTTAGACTTAAAACAAAGCGGAGGTTTCTCCATGATTCTAAATTATAATCATTTTAATGTCAGATTACAACCCCTTCACACACAGGCAATAAAAAAAGGATTCATTTCAGTAGAAAAACTACTATAGCCCCTTTAATGGAATAAACTTTAGTTACAAGATAAAGAAACTTTATCTTTGTGAGGACCAATACATTTTTAAAACATCCTCATACTGAGGACATTATCGCACTGTGAGGACATTACTGCGCTGTGAGGACATTACTGCGCTGTGAGGCCATTACTGCGCCGTGAGGACATTACTGCGCCGTGAGGACATTACTGCACCGTAAGGACATTTTGGCTGGTCTTCATGACTAAGAGCACTGGCCAACTGCTGAGACTTGGTTTTAAGGTTCAGGGTAGACTCAGGTTCAAGTTGCAGTAGGCTCCTAATGGTTGTGTGTGTGTGTGTGTGTGTGTGTGTGTGTGTGTGTGTGTGTGTGTGTGTGTGTGTTGGTCAGCTGTTGAATATTTGATGGAGCTCTGATGGAGCGAGTGGGAGGAAGAAGAGGAGCTCAGGTTGTTGAAAACATCACAAATCAAGCTGCATGCTGCTAAATGAGATAACCTGCTGTTCCTGAACAATATTCATGAGTTCTTTGATTCATTCAGTCATTTTTACAGACAGAGCTGGTTTGACCCGCACAGATCTGAACTCACACGCGTGAATCCAGAATCAATCCAGGATTTGGTTTTACTTCTGCAGTTGAAACAACCTGAATGAACTTGGTGTGTGTCCTCACCTGTGAGCAGGCGCCTGTGAGTCTGCAGGGCACTAACTAACCTGTGTCTCTGTGTTGGTGTTTCAGACCTGAACGAGGCGATCCCAGAGACCGAGCTGCTGGACAACAGCATCCAGAAGGGCCGCGCCCAGCTGTCCGTCAAGGCTCGGAGGCAGCGTCCCTCCAGGTCACGTTACCGGGACAGCGTGAGCTCCACGGAGGGGGACGACAGCCTGGAGAGGAAGGTACCAGCAAACATGTTATTAATTAAAGAGGTCTGAGTTTCATTAAGTCCACGTTATTAGAAGTCAATAAATAACACTCACAAATGAATCAATCAAGGAATAAATGGAACCATATGTGTGGTAACTCAAAGTAAGAAGGAAGTAATTCCTTCGCTGTACATAGTAACAGGACTTATAACAATAACTTTATTTGTATAGAACATTTCACACAAAGACACGGTCTGATTCATAGTAACAATGAATCTGAAGAATAAACAGCAAAGGAAACATAAACATTAAAAGTGATTCCAGAAACGTCAACCCAAAATAAAGATGGTGTTTTAAAATTAAAATACAACATTCAGTCACTCAGAACGGCCGAGCTAGCAGCTCTGAGCTGCACACACTGCTAAAGGCTAACGTTTGCTAATTAGCAGGTTAGTTGGTTAATTAGACTGTGAGGACAGCTGTAGTCTGATGACATCACTGTGATGACGTTTTAGTGTGTGTGTGTGTGTGTGTGTGTGTGTGTGTCTGTGTGCTATCAGGACAGTCCGATACACTCCACCCGCTCACCTCTCCATCTGGCAATGCGAGGCTCCTCCCCCTCTCCTGACTCACTGCTGTCTGCTCGAAGCCCCGCCTTCTCCTTCGACACATCACTGGTGAGACAAATCAGAGCTCAGGACAGGTTCTAATGTTGTAAATGTGAACAGAAGAAACAGAGAGAGAAACAACCTGTGTCCTTCTTCCTTTTCGCTGCTCAGGCGCGACGCTCTCCAGAGGATGAAGGCGAGCCATTGGCTGCTCCCCCACGGGGGCGGTACCATCAGCTGACCAATGCCACGTCTCAGGAGGCTCTGGTCACTCCCAGCAGCTCGCCCTCCAGGTCCTGCCCCTCCTCCGACTGCTCACGGGTCTACATGAGGAGGAGCAGAAGGCCCGACAGCGAAGGTACGCACACCTGAACACTCACCTGTAAAAGCACCTACCTATCACACTGGTACACCTGTGTCATCTGGAAGCACACCTGTGAATACACGAGTGCACCTACACCACCAATAGTTACTCTGCATATCCTTTAAGTCGAGACTCCACAGTCCAAAATGATGATTTGCATTTTTCAGATTTCATGATGTTATTACCAGACTTTCATAAAATTTACAAAACAATCTTGGATAATATTTATAAACATTATTGTTAGTCTGTTTTAATCTATATTGAACCTTATATCGTTTGTGTCAGTGTTGGTTTCTGACTCGAGTCGGGACCCGAGTCCAGCTGATCCCGGCAGTCCAACCGTCGTCTTCGACAAGAAAACCAAGAGACGCTTCCTGGATTTGGGGTGAGACAAAATGAGTTGTGAATTAATCTGGGAGCCACTTCAGCTTCCTGTCACCCTAACAACCACCAGAAAAACCATAGCAACCACTTAGCTTGTGTGTCTCTTCAAATGTGTGGATTTACTGTTTGAAAATTCCCTTTCATCCAATCTACTGTGTTTCTTTATTTATCAGAGCAGTATTCAGAGTTTTTACAGAACATCCAACGTTGCATACCGCCGCTCTGTCCTGATAAGTACATCATCACTGGCAGTAGCTCCTCCTTCAGATGCTTCAGTAAATCAGATGTAGGATTGTTGGAGGGTGAAAGCTTTTTGCTGACGACACAGTTCTTTACATCAGACTGTGACACAATAATGGCAATATTTCTAGCTGTGGACAGAACGCCTCTCTCCCTCCTTCTACATCCTACCTTTAGCTTTTTGGCTAACAGCTGACTTAAACAACATAAGGTCCGAATTCTGGAGTTAAGGTGATGAACCCACAATGCAACACTCTCTGTAGGAGCCGGTGTCACAGCGTTGGAATACCTGAGTGACAGGAATTAGCATGTTAGCATTTGCAGTACTCAAAATGTCTTCTAACAAAACCTGATGTCTCTCTCTCAGGGTGACTCTCAGGCGTTCATATATCCGGGTGAGGAAAGACAAATCCAACAGGCTCTCTGTGGGCAGCAGGTGGGTCTTTCACAAGAGTCCCATTGTGAAAGTTCAACATTTAACAAACAAAGACACAAACGCTTGTTTTCTGTTTGTTGTGTCCTCAGAGAGCCGTCTGAAAGTCCGTCTCGGTCCTCAGGATCCTTTGTCCCCTTCTCTTGGTTCACCGAAGGACGGGGGTCGCTATCCTCCTCCGGGACCCCACCCTGCTCCCCCAAGACCACCCCGCTGAGCTCCCCGAGACCTCGCAAGTCCCACTCGCAGGTACAGAACAGACGCTTCATGTTTACCTGCTGACTGACTTCATCTGACATCATGACACCGAACCTCTTTACCAAACACAAGTCTCACAGACAGATTCAGTTTTTGGATTCACAGTTTATTTTTAACCTGTTATTTGTTCTGAGTTTGTACCCAAGGAGTTTTTATCATGTTCCCGAACGTTCTTTTGTTTACAAAGGTTCCCGCCGTGTAAACAAGCTGCCGGCGTGCAGGACAAACACGAGAACACACGCAGGACAAAAGCTCGTTAACAGACACCTGCCAGCCAATCAGAGACCAGGGTTTCTGATGACATGGTGTAATAGTGAGTTATAGTCCAGCTCTGTTTACACGTGAACACACACAGTGTATCGGCGTGTGTGTTTGTGTGTATTGATTTTTATTATTTACTCATCTTTGCCCACATGCCCGTCCTGCATGCTTTTAGCTTAACCACCACACACTCACATACAGTCATATGATCGCTCAGCTGCGGTGTGTTTTATGGCTGCTGATAAATGTTCTGCTGCAGGAACAATCACTCTGTTCCTCCACCATTAAGGCTCAGAGGAAGAAGCCCCGTCAAACATCCACAGATCTGCAGTGATTGGCTGTGGTGTGTGTGTGTTGCTCTCATTGTAAGAACCTGAGTGGTTGCTGAAGCTGCTGAATAATTGAGAGTTTAAAATGTCTATGACGCTGCATCAGCAGATGTCGGTGTTTTGGATGTATCTACAATTTACGCAAACTAGAGCACAACTGGGCCGGTTCTGGGGGAAGGGGGTGGGGGATCTGAGTAGGGCTGGTCGGACCAGATTATCGGCTAAATGATCCTGTGACAGGCAGAATCTGAAGGCCGGATCGGAGCCTGGGAGCAGAAACCTGCAGCAGCCAATGAGAGCGAGCTGAGCGGGAAGCTCACCAGCGGGTTGTTGTTCTGCTGGCGTTATAAAACGGGTGGCTCCAATCAAACGATCTGATTCCTTCATACAGATCCGTATCACTCTGCGACAAAGTACCGCTAGAAAGTGAGAACGTACTGTTAGCAAACTGGCCAGCTGGAAACTCCAAACGTTAACTGGAAACTCCTGGGATGCCTTACAATGGGGGAGGGGCTTGAGCAGGTATCTCTGGAAACGCCTTTGAAACAACCTGTAGAGCTAACTTTCATAACTTGTGTATGTTGCATAGGCAGGACTACTTTTTGTTGTCATAAAAATAATGTCTATTGATGATATAAAACATCTGTTACTTTCTTTTTGTAACAACAGCAACAGCTCACTTCATGGTATCAACGTCAAAACCACTGAACTGTGACAAAATACGCCAACACATTCTCACTACCGACTCTTGGTCAAGGCCCTTTGGGGTCGCTTTTTACTGCCCTGGGGACCCTTTTAGCATAGTTTGTAGACGTTTAGGGCTTAAGTTAGTAATGCGTATCAACATTGAATATGCAACGTGTGGTTAGACTTGAAAATAAAAGCACTGCATTTTTAAAACGAAACATTCTTAAAGTTGTGAAACATTGCAATTTGGTTAGGTTTAGGAAAAGATCATGGTTTGGGTTCAAATAACTACATCAGTTAATACATAAGTTAAGTAACATTACTTGCATAACTTACAATATTTAATATATATATATATATATATGGATCCACAACATTAAATACTGTGTGTTACAAACTGACACTGACGGGTCGTGGCCATGCGTCCATATGTGACGAGTCGGGAGTGAGAACTTTTATAAACCTGCTGATTCACTTTTCTCGCCATCCACAGTTTGATTCTCTTCTTTTGTTTTTCTGTGTAAGACACAGCAAGGTCAACCAGCTGACGAAGACAGTCTGCCACACATTTGATCACGTGATATTCTGTCAAGCCCCCAGAACCGCCACTCTGAAACCGTTTAGTATAAACGCAGAGTGTGTGGTCCTGCGTCTGGAGTGAACCGTCTGCTGTGTCTTAAGATTAAAATATTGACCATGGGTTCCATTCTGTTGTTACGTCTGTGGCATCAAACGTACCTGCTACTGTCTCACAGCCTGATGTCCAGAAACTATTAAAACATATCTGGAGCAGACTGTCGATGTGTCAAAGTTAAAGAAAGGAAAAACAAATACCTGCTGCCTACAAACAGGAAGAAGAAGAAATTAACTGCAGTTTCACTTCCTGTCTGCGTCCTCCAGGAGTCGGCTCTCAGCGAGGAGTTTTCTCCTCCTCACACCTCCTCCTCCACCTCTCCTCCTGTCGACCCCTCCTCCTCCAGATCCTCCCATCCATACCACACCCTCTCCCAGTCCTCTGACGAGGTAATGCACACGCAGACACGCATGTATAAACAATATATGACATTTTATTCACGTGTTTGGAGGCGAAGATCCTGCAGGAGGTGAAATCTCTCTCCCGCTTCTCAGAGCCAGAACTCAGTCAGATCTGAACTCTCAGACAGGAAACACATGTTGAGTCATTCAATGGGACTTCCTGTTCCCGAGGACATCATGAACTCTGACGTCCGTCCAAAACAAACGTCCAGAAATCAGCTTAGAAACTAGAGAGAGAGAGACGCAGCAGAACCTCCTGAGAATCTGCACGTTTTATACACTGTAACTTAGAAGTGAACCTTAAGGTTCATAAAGTTGAGCTGCTGTGTTGTAGTTGTCATAACATTGTTTTTTAAGTTGAAGTTAAATAACTTGTTTCAACTTCATACTTTGAGTTAAAACCAATAATTATTTTACTTTATCAATGCAAAAATGTACCCATAACTAGTCTGAGCAACACACTTTATTCTAACTCACAGTTTCAAGTTAAACTCAAGTACATTTATACTACTTTACATTTCAAGTTAAGAAAATTTATAGAACAGATTCGTTTACATTTACATGCAGTTGTCAGATCCCCCTCGACCGCTGGCACTAGTCTTTTCTGGTTTACCACTAAAGTGGTTGATATTGAATATATGACTTATCTGCAGTGTGTAATTAGTACTGAGTGAGTACACAGCTTTCTGTATCAAGTTAAATTATCTGTATCTGTACTTGGTTTAAAGTTGGTATGGGTTAATCAGAAGTTGGTATATGTATTTGAAAACTATTTACAAAACAGCCTCAGAACTGAGCTTCAGTGTTTTTAAATACAATAACCTGAGACTGATTTTTTTAATTTATAGTTTATTAGAAAACAGAACACACAGTTTCTCTTAAACTCAACCAGCATATATTTCTTTCTCGTGCTCTCTCTCTTCATCCCCGCACACCGGCCTTTCTGTTCTGCTGATAACTTACAATCCCAATTTCAGCACAAAAGCCTCAAATAGTCAACACATGGAATTACGTTAGCCTTTAGCAAACAGTCGAGTTCAAAATCCAAAACTTGCTAGAGCTTTGAGTTAAAAAGTATGGAGGGATTATTGGGTCAAAATTAAAACTAAAAGTCTAAATCAAAAATGTAGGCATTTAAGATTGGGCATTTGAGCATTTCTGCTCTTTAGCAGTCAGAGCTCCCCCTGCTGACCATAAGGTGCCTCTGCACACCAGCCGTTTCAAACCCAGCCTCCAGTCTTTGGGCCATGCCCACTTATTTGCATACACTCCTCAATCTTAAATCCCAAATACCCAAACGTAAATGCTCAAATACCTAGTCGTAAATGCCCAAATGCATTTTTGATTTAGACTTTTAGTTTTAATTCTGACCCGATTGTTAAGACAAATGTCAAGGATTAAATTGATTTGGGTTTAATTTTTTCGTAGCTTAATTATTAAATTATTTCCTGAAATACCAATAGCGGCATTGATGGGAGCTCACCTGAGAAGTTCATGTGAGGTGAAGGTTCTTGAAGGTGTTTCCGCTGCGGACAGGCAGACACCAATTTAATGTGAATTAGGGCAGGCAAATGTGCTCAAGGTAGATAAAGGAGAAGGAAATGAAAAGCGTAGGGTGCATCAGTGTGCAGGAGATTTCAGAGAAGCTATTGGTACATGAGTGATCGCTTTGTTTAAGTGGATTTGGATTGTAATTTTGTAAGGATTTGCATGCAGCAAAAAATAATGGCTAGTTTAAAACTATCAGTGTGGTACTGTGCACTTTTTTATTTTGTCTGCTTTGATTTAAGTGCATGGTTGATCAGGTTACATGATCGTTTACTGTGCTTACTAGTCATGATACTGGACGATATTGTTTCTTTACATTATTATGTCCTTCATAGTAGAAATCTGAGCATGTTTCAATTAAGGCAGTGGTCGATATAATGGTTTAATATACTATAATAGACGCATGATTAACTGGTTTATTTAAGAGCTGTGGTTAAAGTTGAATTATTAGTATTAGTATTAATCTTCATTCACAGATGAACTGCTTTATTTATTTGGATGTGCTTAATAACTTCATCTTGGATCACTTGTTTAATTTGAGTCACAAATGCTGGCAGTGTATAATTGGGGTATTATTTAAGTAAGGTACAGAAGAGGTAAAGAAATGTAGTTACACTTTGATAGTTCTTCACTTCAAAGAAATTAATTCTGAGCTGTGAGTTTTCAGTTTTTTCTGTTTTTGCATTTAAAGGTTATTAACCTATTAAACTCCAAAATGATGTATGAATTGCAGCTGATGTTTGTGGAAAATTAAATAAATTCAAAGAAAGAAGATTCTGTCATCTCCTAAGCCTTTTTCAAGTTTAAGGCACCCCAGATAACTCGACACCAATTGTCCCTCCATAAAAAAAGAAGTAGAAAGTGGGCATAACTAAATGGGGCTGTGATGATTTACAGAGTACTCTTAATGTGGACAAATGTGTTGGTGGTGACAATTCCCTCCTCCTCCTCCTCCTCCTCCTCCTCAGCCCTTCGATGACCCGTCCTGCCCGGTGTCTTTGTGGACGACCCAGCAGGTCTGTCAGTGGCTGAAAGGACTCAACATGGAGCAGTATGTCCCAGAATTCAGCGCGAGAGACATCGACGGTCGGGAGCTGCTGCAGATGGACGGCCAGAAGCTGAAGGTGAGGATGAGGAGGATGAGGTCCTCTGCAGGGCCTGAGCGTGCTCAGTTCATCAGTGCGGAGTCCCTGTCAGATGCTCACTTACTGTCCCCATCATGATTCTGTATGGAAGACGATTAGTGCCAGGAAAAAGAGGAACAAGTCAGTGAGTTCAGAGCTGGGAGATTTTCGCTTTAAAGACTAAATCATGTTTGTGATTATTACTTACGGCACATTCACATCAAACAAATGTTTCACATCGTATTATTCGCGTGAATTTGATCGCTGTGTTCCCTTAGTGTTCCCATACAACGCCAGTAAAACGTGAGTTTACGACAGTAAACACAACCCGGTTTACTACAGCTGCGTGAACCCAAACTTTAGTTTCAATAAACGGATCAAACTGATGCTGAAATAACTTTTTCAATTCATGCTTTGTCAGGTCTGTCAGCAGGACAACAACTTTTAAAATGTTTGTTTTCTGAATGGAGTCTTGATCGATCAGGGCTATGCTGTGCTAACTTATTTTATAGGTACAACGACAATTGGAATCAAGTAACGGACACGTTTTCTTAACTCACCAGGTAGTTCAGCTTCCTCTCCTCCTTTTCTCCCAGCAGCCTCCTGCTGTGTCGCTCTGTATAAATATGAAGTCGCCCCACAGAGCCCTGAGAAGCACTGAAGATAAATCCACTTACTAATCCCTAAAATTTAAGTGAATTTAAAAAAAGAAGTCAACTCTGAGCTCCTCCTGTGGGTAAACAGCTCCGTTATCAGAACAGAATCAGACTGCAGGTGTTTATTGGTCTAAAGCTCTGGCGCCGCCCGACTCTCTCCTCCAGAGCTCCTGTATCTCAGCAGCGTGTTTGCTTCATTCGTGCAGCCCGGCGGGAATCCGCTTCTGTTTGAGTCTTTGCATTTCCTTAGTATGTCATTAGATGACGACGTGGGGTCCCGGCCGCTAACGGGTCCGGCCGCCATCAAGTCCGCTGCTGTTCCAGTTGCTGAATGACGGACTGCGTGCTCCCGTTCCTGCAAGTTTGTACTCCCGAGCCAAACTTGCCAAGTCCGAGCTTTAAAGTACAGAAGTCCGAACTTGGCGAACTCGGTTTTGAGAAACAGCCACGGCCCGCCTGTTGTGGTAAAATGGCAGCTAGAAAGTTCAAATCAAAACATTGCTAAAACTTATTTTAACAGTCAAACTCACACAAAACTGCTACGTAACAAACTGTATTGACATCACACAATATGTGTTGAACGTTATACCGTAAGGAAAACAATACGTCAGCCCAGCAGCACTTTTCCACATAACTTAGCTGGTGGATGGTGGTTTAGGTTAAAATAACTAACTTAAGTAACGTTACTTAAAAGAATTGATGTTGACTCCTTGACTCCTGGGTGTCTGATCTCCGACCAACCCGTCCAGCCCAACCACCTCCTCACTGACAAAGCTTCGTCGAGGGAAAAAGAACACGCTGGAAATGTCAGAAATCTTCACTTCTTTTAGCATCAAACTACTCACTAACATCTTGTAACAAGTCAGCAAGAAAATAAGAAATTATTTAAAGGCATCAAAATCCTAAAGCGCCCAGAACCTCCTCGCTGAACTCCACTTACTCGCTTATATGGAACACTGAGTTCCATATAAACTCAGTGTTTAACAAAAACATCTGACCTCTGTCCTCGTCCCCTGCAGGCTCTGGGCATGCTCAGTTCGTCTGATCGCGGCGCTCTGAAGCGTCGCATCAAGGAAATCCTGACTGCAGCAGAGAAGGAGAGAAAAGCTCTGGACAAGATGGAGAAACAGAAAGAAAAACAGCGAAGGAAAGACCAAGAACAGCGCAAGAGCTGAGCGCCGCCACCAGGGGGGGACAGAGGGGGGGGCAACAACAAGGGGAGGACAATCTCTGTGTCTGCACATCCTGGAAAACCTTGGTAATCTGAAATGCACCTTTCCAGTCCTGGAAAAGTCCTGGAAAGTGTAAACCAGAGGTCATCCAGTGCAGGAAGTCATGTGATCGATGACATCATGACACCCTTTCTGACGGTGGCCCTGAAGGACAAATCGTTCAGCGTTCAGCAGGTTACAAACAGGGTTTCAGTGTTTTTACATGTTTTCTCTCTTTGCTGCCCCAAAAAAAGATTCATATCAAAGAAAATCTAAAGTTTAAAAACATCTTGAAACATACGAGAATGAATAAAAATGAACGAACATCTGAATGAATTCAGTGTTTTGCTTTTGTGTGTGTTTTTTGTCCTTCGGGGCCACCGTCAGTTCAAACCTCCTGTGTGATTATTAAAACTCATTGATAAAGTTAAATCATATTTTCAAATAAAATAGTGTGATCTCTGACTCTTTGCAGCAGGTCTGGTTGAAGCAGGAAACAGCTGCAGGTGATTTAAGTGTTTAAAGTTGAGATTCTTCTTTCTGATGTTGAATAAAAACAACGTGTGATGTTTGTTTGTTTCAGACGTCTGTACTCACCGACCTCTGACCTCTGCAGCCGCATTCAAATCTCAAAGAAATAAATCTGTCAAACGTTTTGTTCAGATTAAAGGTGCAGTATGTGATTCTAATCCAACGTCTTTTTGTCAGATTCAGTGAACATCACCTATCATGACCCGGGTCCTGAAGGTCCCTGGGTATGAGGAGGCCTCAGGGAAGACCCAGGAATAGATGGCTGGATTATATCTCCACCTACTCCTGGGAAGGCCTCGGGATCCCCCAGTCAGAGCTGGTTGATGTGGCTCAGGAAAGGGAGGTTTGGGGTCCTGCTCCTGAGACCCGACCCCAGATAAGCGGTTGAAGATGGATGGAAGGATGGATGGATGGTGAACATCTTCTGGTTCTTGAACTGTCTCATCATCTCTGCATGTTAGCTTCAGGTTAGCTTAGCAGCAGCAGCCATAAGCCACAGTTTGCTAACCCAGACTTGGCTAACGTTAGCTGCATTACTCGCTGTTTGTTAGGCGCCATGTTGTTTCTACAGAATCACTTTCTCCACCTTTAAAGGAGACCTATTATTCTGCTTTTCCAGTCCTATATTGTAGTTCTGTGACTCCTGTACGGCAGCTTTGCATGATTCAAAGTTCAAAACAAATAATCTTCTCTCTCATACTGACTTTTCCATGAAGGCCTTCATTTCAGCCTCTGTCTGAAACAAGCTGCAGATGCTCCTGTCTCTTTAAGACCCCCCCCCCGCCAACCAAAAGCCCACTGTCTTCTGATTGGCCCACGACCTGAAGCATGTTACCAGGCTGTTGTTGTTGCTGGGCGGAACAGACAGACTAAGTGTTGCCGTGGGAGTAAATGACCATATATGGACCAGCGGCTCCGTCTGGCTCCGTGTCGTATTACTGAGCCGTTGGTAGAAAAAAGCTGTTGAAAACGTTCAGAACAGGAGGAAACCTGATGTTTATGCTCACAGGGATTTCTTTTAAATACTTTAACCTCATTACTGGAAGTTTTGGCCACGTTTAACATGAACATCCAACATTGGAGATAAGTGATAAAATGTGGAAAAGTATAATAGGTCTCCTTTAAAGAGGGATTAAATGAAGGAGTTTAAAACCCGTTCAGTTTGTTTCCTGCCCCCTGATGATTACACCACTGACCTGCAGGAGGCGCTGACGCAACAAGCTGGTACACTTTGATGCTGGATTTAAAGTGTCGTTTTAAATTTAAATTCTGCTGTATAAATGTTTTTGGAGATTCACTCAGAAGCTGAACATTTTCCTGTGTTTGTGTTAAATATTAAGTTCTCTCTATTTTTATATCAAACTCATCTTTTCTTTTGCTGTGAAACTGAATCTGAACGAGCTGCATGCTGATCTGAGTTAGAGAACATATGATTCGTATCAGACTAAATAAAAGGATCAGACGTGAAGAAGCCTGAAAACATTATGCAGCTTTCTTCATCACTCATTATTATCATTATTATTATTAAAACAGTTTTTACATCTGCGCTCACAGCCGTTCCTCCCGTCATGAACTCCTTTTAACTTCCTGTCACATGATGCGATGCCTCGATGTTTCTGTTTGAAGTGTCGGAGCTGCTGTGACCTCTGAGCTGAGACGCGAGGAGCCACGTCAGCTGAATGGAACGCACCCCGAGATGCAAACGAGGGCAAAAAACCGAAGTTATTCTCATTAAAACAAACTACAGGTACGGAGACTCCTGATTGGCTGTCAGACACAAACACTCTTCTCTCTGATGAGTCGGGCTGGGTATCGGTATCTGATATCTTTAAGGTATCACTACGGAAATAGTCAAATACAGAGTAGTATCGGGTCAGGTTTGTAACCAGATCTGGAAGAAAAGACTATTTGTTTGGTTTTGCTCGGACGCAGCATGTCAGCCTCAGCGACTTCCAGGCGGCGTCCGAGCAAAGTGATCGTCACTTTTACAAGTTTCTCTCCACAAGCTTGTTTGTTCCATCTCCTGATCTCCTTTAACTCGATCAGTGCGTTCCATCAGCTGATTTTCCTCCCTCTCTCCTCCAACATCTGATATCAGATGAAGTCTGAGCGGCTGGATGTGCAGCCTTCTTTTCCTTTAGAGGGACTCCTTCCTGTTTTCTTCTTCTTACTGTCCTTCTGGAGGTTTGCGACTCACCACTGAAGGAAAAATAACTGCAGAGATCTTTCACTTCAGTTCAAGATTTATTGATCCAAAGTTAACAAAATTATTCTGTTATTTACTTTTCACAAACGTATAATTTTTTTTTTTTACTAAAATTCCTTTTCCAGAGCTCCCAGTGATCCTTAAACTATTTCACTCCTCTCATATTCAAACACTCCCGAGCAGCCGTCCTTCCTCTGATTATGACGTCTAGACGACCTGATCAGGACGAGGAGCGATCTGATACTGATAATTTTACACAACACTTATTTCAAACCATAAAAAAGAAAACTGATCACATTGCTCGTCCATAACAACGATAAAAAATAATAATGGCTTCAACAGGTGGCGTTTTACACAAGGTACTGAATAAAGTACTCTGTTGGTACCTGTATCACTTTACAGGTACTGGTTTTGGTTCTGGTATCGTAAAGTCTAGAACCTACTACAGTCCTACTGACGAGTCAAATAATAAACTCTTTATAAATAAATAAAGTAAAAAAAGAGAGTTTACCCACAGGGTTTACTTTAAACTTCAAACTGACCGTGTTTCTGTGGTTAATTTTCTCTGACATCACTGCTGACATCATCACTGCTATGACATCATAACTGTTGTTGCTCAACTTGAGAAACTTTTCACTTCCTGCTCTTTTTCTCCTCTCTCTCTCTTGTGTTTTAAGCCTTCTCGTCCCTGCAGAGCTCCTCCTCTGACCCCTAAACTTTCATATAGAAAATATATAAAACACCCTCTCACACACAAACACATTATATTAAACAATATAAAATAATTAATACAGACACAGAAAACCGAAGGTAAAACAATAAATATTTCTGCATAAATAAATAAATAAATACAGTAATAAATAAAAATACTATAAATATGACAGCAGATAAACTTTTGATCCAAACCTAACAAAAAAACATAAATACAAACCCGCAGAAACATCTGCAGCCAGACGTTCACAGGAGCCGCAATGCACTTCTTGTAACTGCTTCACAATAAAAGCCCCGGTATGACACAAATGGGGAGGCTTTTATTGTGAAACAACAGGAAGTCTGAATCATCATTTGCTTCAGTTACAACTGTGATGATTAGTCTAATGATTGTAATGATTATTAAAAGAGTCAGTGAGAAACTGAAAATGTTTCTGCTCTTCACGTCTTAAAAAAAGACGCGTCTGTGAAATAAAATATAAAATCTGTGGCTGGAGCAGGACGGCGTCCTCCTGCAGCCTGCGCCCGTCTTCTTTTTAAAGCTCCTGATCAGAAATCAATCAATCAGTCTCTGGTTTTCCAGTAAATAACAGACTCAAAGTAAGAGCAAAAGCAGCAGCTGGATTCAGGTCTGAGCAGGTCCAGACCTGCAGATCAGAACAGATCTTCAGTCCTGAAGCATCCCTCTGCGTTTCTGTGCAGACCTGTTCCACAGAGACCGAGCGGCTGCAGGTCAGGAGGGGCGACGTCTGATGTGTCGACGGGCCGCTTTTAAAACAGGAAACTCTAAAACTAAGTTCTGTCTCCTGAACTTTCCTCTGAGCGTCTCGCTGAATATAAAAATATCTGAACTGTTTCTCGTCTTTCAGCTCAGAAGCTGCTGTTGTTGAAAACTATGTGGAGTCTTTCCAGCAGCTGATCGGCGCTGTCGTATCGCTGCGTTTGTTTCCTCGACATAAGATCTTCCCGTGTGTCCTCAAACGCAGCGTGGGGTTGTCCCGGGTGGGCGGGGCTTATCGTGTACCTGCAGCTTGGGGCCGGTAGGCGGCGATGGCTCTCAGGCTGCGGAACATGTCGTGACAGAAGGAGCGAAGCTGCGTCAGCGTCAGGTGAGTCGCCACCTGGACCTCGTAGCTACCACGGAGATGAGAGGCCAGGTCCAGACTCTGGTTCTGATCCGCCTCGCCGCCGAGCTGAGCCACCTCCTTCATCTAGAGCACAGAAACACACATTTAGCTGTTAGCTTAGCATCAGAGGTGGGGGCGGGGGCACAGACACAGCCTCAGGTGTGTGCGTTACCTTGTTGATGTGGGTCAGCAGGTCTCTGAGGTCGGCTCGCAGGTCGCTCAGCCCGCTCAGTCTGTCAGACAGAACTCCCAGCAGCCCCTGGTACAGCCGGCTGCCCGCTGACATGCGGCTCACGCAGGTGTCCTGCAGGGGGCGACACACAGAGGATGACTGACAGGAAATAACAACCAGGTGAGTTAAAAACAGATACACCTCCACCGGGTTTCTGGACCTCCTCAGAGCTCAAGGACCATTTGACCATTTCAAGGACCCTGAGATCCTCCTCAAGGATTTAATGACCCCCCATTTTACATGAAAAATCTTAAGGACCTGCAGAAGCTCGTTCAGGACCCTAAAGAACCCCCCAAAGCCCCAGACTGCAGACTGACCAGTGTGAAGTGTTCGGACGGCGGTTTGAGGACGGGGGCGGCGGGGATTCCCAGAGTTGTCATCATCATCTGCAGGTTTGCTGTCTGGGAGGACGGCTCAAGGGTCAAACCCTGCAGGGAGGAAAGGAAGATGTTATTAACGTGAAGAAGAAGAAGAGCAGCCAATGGGAGTCCACTTGACTCGGATGTCTTCCTCACCTCGGTGATGACGGTGGCAGCGTGCACGGTGGGGATGTCTCTCATTATTTTCTCCACCAGCGTCTTTGCGCGCTCGGCCGCCTCTTTGAACGCCGGCGGCTGTTCGTATGGCGAGCTGACCGGAGCTGATTGGACTAAAACTGCCAACAGGAAGCAGTGCAGCAGGGCGATGACTGGAGGAAAAAACACACAATGTTTGTTTAGCAAAAGTTCACTGTATGGAGGGTAAATAGAGCCCGAGCATATTCAGTGTCAAGTCAGATCAAATACACAAACTTTTAAGATATTTTTTAAATATATATGATTTCCTCTTCTGATAAGTATTATTACATATTAGGAAGTTTAATGGAACAAATGACTTCATGTTACAAACCTTTAATTGACCCTTTATTGATTAGTTTAATCAAGATATTAATAAGCTGTGATAAATCTGTTTGACTGGAGTAATAAACGATGTAATGGAGTTATTTTAGTGCCAGCACAAATTTAATTTAGGGAAGCTTTGTAGTCACTAACATTTTGTGTTTATTCATTCATTTATTCATCAATGTTTGTCAACATTACTTGCTGAACTTTTACCAAATGAAAAAAGAAATAATAAACAACCTACAGCCCAAATATTGTTCATGGCTGATGTTTAGCAGAATAATTTTTTTCATGTTCCCTGTCTTAGTTAAGTTTGTTAGCATGGTAACATCAGCACGCTAACATGCTTATGTTAGCATGCTGATGTTTAGCAGGTATAATGTTTACTGTTCACCGTCTTTGTTTAGCATAATAGCATGCTAACATTAGCTATGAATGTGCGTAGTTCTGCAGGTATTTGGTCAGGGCCTGATAGTGGTGCTGAATGTAAAGCTATTCTTCCTGAGGGGAACATGAAGGTCTGATCCATGTTCTATCACAATCATGCAACAGATGTTTCAGTCTGGACCAGAGCAGAGGACAGACTGACTAAAAATTACTGATTAATCAATTCTCAAAGTATTTGCCAGTTGACTAAAAGATTCATTGACTTAGTCTGAGTCCATGTTACAGCTGGCTGCAGCTTCAATTCATTCTTACTCAGCAGTTTTGGCACAAACAAACCATTCAGCCCTGAGGCTGACACTAATAACCCCCCATACCGGTCCTGAGTTTCAGGTGTCCCGGGGCTGTGCTGATGCAGAGGAGGTGTGCAGCTCTGCTCAGGTGATCTCAGTGAACTCAGGTTTGACAGAAAAGTCGTGTTTTTAACAAAGTGATTCTGTAAAGTTTGTTTTAGTTAAGTCACATCTGTGTTCACTCCTCCACCAGACTCCATGCATGTTTCTGCTGATTTTAGCAGCCCCTCCTGTCGGTGCCACGATCAGAGTAAAAGCTGGCTCTTACCTGTCAGGGTGTTCATGTCTGTCAGGGCGGCTGTCTGTCTCTCGGTGTCTGTCCGCCGGTAAACTCGGTCAATTGTCCTTTAGTTTCCATTTGAAGCCGTTTGGACCTTTTATCTGCAGCCTGTCCCTCGGGGTTTTCCCGCTGACAGGCAGCGAGCTCTCCAGATAAAATCCCGAAGTGACGAAGCTTGTGAAAGCTTGTTGCGTCACTGCAGAGCGCGCAGATCCGCGATACAGGAAACTTGCAGGAGTCTCACCTGCTGCCGGTAAAGGACGTGACGTTACACCTGAATCAGTACATTTAATCCGTCACAGCTCACTTTCATCCATGAAGGGAACTCATTAAAAGCATTTCCTGCAGAGTTTCAGGCTCATTAAAGTATCCAGAGATACTCAATGGCAGGTTTGAACCAGTAGGTACCTGATCAGATATTCAAACATGACCACCGTGAAACCCAGTGAAACCAGCAGCCCACTCCCACAGCAAATAAGACTTAGACCTCTTTAAACACAGCTGTGTTTTTATCTTATTCTTATGCAGTAGTGGGGGAAGTATTCTGAGATTTTACTGCAGTAAAAGTACACACTTTAAACATTTTTTTTGTTACAAGTTAAAGTACTGCATTGAAAATGTGAAGTTCACTGCAGTACTTATAAAACTCCTCATGCAGGTACTGGTGACAGGCAGTGTGTTGACTGAAGGTGTGTGGAGGTGTGTTGTGGTGCGTTCAGGTTGTGCTGGGAAGTTGGAATTTCTGGAACTGGAACGCTCCCTAAAGTTGGGAGAACCTCTCCAACCCCGACCTCAAGACAAAGTAAGGTTGTTCTGATTTCAACATGGCAATTCAAAGCGCTTTGATTAAATTAAACAACAGAGGGAAATATTAATGAAAGACATTTAAATACAATTTTCTTTAAAAATAGAGTGAAACAGGTTAATTTAGGGGAGAACGTGGTGATTTGAGCCTGTTTCTCAGCAGCCAAAGACAAAAATGGTCATGTGACCAAACATTTTTGAAGAGTCTTTCATGTTACTCACCCTGTGATGGGTGTGATTCCCCAAGGAACAAGTGATGAGCACAGATCAAAAATCAGTTTTTGCTGTTCAGAGTGATTTTGCAATGTTCAACAGTCCTGATTCTTGTTTCTGAACATTGCATGACAGGTCTGAGAAGATCTTAGGCGTGTGTTTTAGGAAGCTTTAGGAAGTCACAATCTGAGGCTACGCTGTTAGCATGACGTTAAACTGCTGGATGACACAAGTTTGTTAAAATGGCAGGACGGGGTGATCTGAGCCAAAGACCTGGGGAAGATGACATTTTGATGTAATCACTGAAATGATGTGACATTATGTGTTTTAGAGCAGAAACCATCACGTCGGGCTTCAGCTCCTACTGTGGCTTTGGACAGAGCAGTGGAAAGTCCATTCATCAGGGTGACTTTAAAGTGAAACATATGAAACAGCTGCATCTAAGTGCAATTAAATGTTGGGACCTGGAGTTTGAGTTTGCACGATGAGATGACACTGACGTCCCCATGTGGCTCATCTAACCCCTCATATGGGCCAAGTTGAGCCAAGACTCCACTTTTTTTTTGGAAAGCCGTATTTTGAAATGAGTTTATTTTAGATCCAAACTGATTATTCCCATCCTAAAATATATGTTCATGTTTTAGTTGGAGACATCACTGTCATGTCCTCGCTTTAAAGACAGCTCAAGTAAAAACTGGCTCAACTCGCCCCGCTCTCCCCCACCCGGCGAACCTGTCGGTTTTTATTTTAGGTTAGAGGGAAGTTTATCATTTAGGATTCAGCTGCACCTCCTGAACCTCGGGAGCCGGCTTCACTGGGTTCTTTGAAAGTACTTTGAAATGACGTGCAGTTCTGATGGACTCCTTTGATCCTTGTTGTTGATGATTTGTGGTGAATATTTAAGACGTGATTTATGTTTTATGACCTTGTAACTTATTTATTATCTTTGTAAACTCTCAAATGCTTTTATGTGTGCAGCCTTGTTGTTTCCAGGACGGTCGTGTTTTTTCTGGTGAACTAAATGTAAATGGGACATTTACAAGCGGCCCGTTTCTCGGGCCTTTAACGGTGCGTTCCAGTTGGACTGGGAAGTGGGAAATTCACCTGGAACGCACCTTAAAATTGGACTTACGACTCGGAAAGTCAGGAGAACCTCACCGACCCGGACGCTGCAACTACCGAGGTAAAGACGAACACGGTGACCCGTCTCCGCCTCTGAGAAGGAAGTCCATCCTGGACCCCCTTCAGTGTGCATGTGGACAGAACCGGCCCACGCGGCGCTCACACACGTGCGTGAACGCTGTTCACTGAGTGCAGCTGAACCTCACTTTGTTTACTCGCTGTGGTTCTTTGTTTGTTGCTGTTTCCACGTCGTGCGTGTCGACGGCTCTGTGATGATGGATGTTTGGTCTGTTGTGGTTTCACTCTGCAGTGAACTTCATGAATCTGTGTGTAGTTTGTTATTCAGCTTCCTGTGTGTCGTCACGCTGCTGCTCTTTAAGAAATCCTGGGCCGATGTCGTCAGCACAGCCTCTGACTTCCTGCTGCAGGCGGACTGACGAAGCGTTTCAACATGTGGGAAGAAGTTAGTTTCCCAACGCAGCGCTCAGCGTTCTCTCTGATTCACACAGTAAGAGTCCGTCATGACCTCACAGCGCTCTGGATATATCAGCAGCAGTACTACGTCACAGTACCACGCTGTGTACTGTGTACTGACGCTCAGGCCTTTTCTGCTGGACCGGACCAGTAACCTGTTTAATACCAGAACCGAGTACATTTACTGCAGTCATGTACTTGTACTTGAATGATTGCTTTTTTATTTCTACAAGAGAAAAACACTGAGACACAATACATATTACAGAGGAAGTACTGCAGTAAAAGTACTAATACCTCAGCAAAATGTTACAGCAGTAAAAGTACTAATACCTCAGCAAAATGTTACAGCAGTAAAAGTACTAATACCTCAACGAAATGTTACTGCAATAATAGTACTAATACCTCAACGAAATGTTACTGCAATAATAGTACTAATACCTCAGAGAAATGTTACTACAATAATAGTACTAATACCTCAGAGAAATGTTACTACAATAAAGTACTAATACCTCAGAGAAATGTTACTACAATAAAGTACTAATACCTCAGAGAAATGTTACTGCAGTAAAAGTACTAATACCTCAGAGAAATGTTACTACGGTAAAAGTACTAATACCTCAACGAAATGTTACTGCAATAATAGTACTAATACCTCAGTGAAATATTAGTGCATTAAAATACCAATACCTCAGAGAAATGTTACTGCAGTAAAAGTACTAATACCTCAGAGAAATGTTACTGCAGTAATAGTACTAATACCTCAGAGAAATGTTACTACGGTAAAAGTACTACTACCTCAACGAAATGTTACTGCAGTAATAGTACTAATACCTCAAAGAAATATTACTGCAGTAAAAGTACTAATACCTCAGAGAAATGTTACTACGGTAAAAGTACTAATGCCTCAGAGAAATGTTACTACGGTAAAAGTACTAATACCTCAGAGAAATGTTACTACGGTAAAAGTACTAATACCTCAGAGAAATGTTACTACAATAAAGTACTAATACCTCAATGAAATATTACTGCAGTAAAAGTACTAATACCTCAGTGAAAGTTACTGCAGTAAAAGTACTGACAACTCATCGGAATGATACTACAGTAAAAATACTAATACCTCAGTGAGATGTTACTACGGTAAAAATACTAATACCTCAGAGAAATGTTACAGCAGTAAAAGTACTAATACCTCAGCAAAATGTTACAGCAGTAAAAGTACTAATACCTCAACGAAATGTTACTGCAATAATAGTACTAATACCTCAGAGAAATGTTACTACAATAAAGTACTAATACCTCAGTGAAATGTTACTACAATAAAGTACTAATACCTCAGAGAAATGTTACTGCAGTAAAAGTACTAATACCTCAGAGAAATGTTACTACGGTAAAAGTACTAATACCTCAGAGAAATGTTACTACAATAAAGTACTAATACCTCAGTGAAATGTTACTACAATACAGTACTAATACCTCAGAGAAATGTTACTGCAGTAAAAGTACTAATACCTCAGAGAAATGTTACTACGGTAAAAGTACTAATACCTCAGAGAAATGTTACTACATTAAAATACCAATACCTCAGAGAAATGTTACTGCAGTAACAGTACTAATACCTCAGAGAAATGTTACTGCAGTAATAGTACTAATACCTCAGAGAAATGTTACTGCAGTAATAGTACTAATACCTCAGAGAAATGTTACTACGGTAAAAGTACTACTACCTCAACGAAATGTTACTGCAGTAATAGTACTAATACCTCAAAGAAATATTACTGCAGTAAAAGTACTAATACCTCAGAGAAATGTTACTACGGTAAAAGTACTAATACCTCAGAGAAATGTTACTACGGTAAAAGTACTAATACCTCAGAGAAATGTTACTACGGTAAAAGTACTAATACCTCAGAGAAATGTTACTACAATAAAGTACTAATACCTCAATGAAATATTACTGCAGTAAAAGTACTAATACCTCAGTGAAAGTTACTGCAGTAAAAGTACTGACAACTCATCGGAATGATACTACAGTAAAAATACTAATACCTCAGTGAGATGTTACTACGGTAAAAATACTAATACCTCAGAGAAATGTTACAGCAGTAAAAGTACTAATACCTCAGCAAAATGTTACAGCAGTAAAAGTACTAATACCTCAACGAAATGTTACTGCAATAATAGTACTAATACCTCAGAGAAATGTTACTACAATAAAGTACTAATACCTCAGTGAAATGTTACTACAATAAAGTACTAATACCTCAGAGAAATGTTACTGCAGTAAAAGTACTAATACCTCAGAGAAATGTTACTACGGTAAAAGTACTAATACCTCAGAGAAATGTTACTACAATAAAGTACTAATACCTCAGTGAAATGTTACTACAATAAAGTACTAATACCTCAGAGAAATGTTACTGCAGTAAAAGTACTAATACCTCAGAGAAATGTTACTACGGTAAAAGTACTAATACCTCAGAGAAATGTTACTACAATAAAGTACTAATACCTCAATGACATGTTACTGCAGTAATAGTACTAATACCTCAAAGAAATATTACTGCAGTAAAAGTACTAATACCTCAGTGAAGGTTACTGCAGTAAAAGTACTGACAACTCATCGGAATGATACTACAGTAAAAATACTAATACC